TCCTTAGCTTTTTTCTAATCAACTCTTCAAAAAATTGCCTGTAAAGGTAAATGGTGTTCAGGACTACGTAACACATTGTAGTGTCAGTTATTATGGCAAGCCCATCTACCTTATTCTAACTTGTGGACATCCTATTTAATTCATTTTACTTGAGTCATATTTTGACCTTGTTAATTATTCGCTTATTAGCCCTGACTGTTTTCATATGAGCGTATGTGTGTACATTTCATGTCCCGTGACTTATCACATGTCTGTCGTTTATTTTGTCCGCCTATAAATATTAAGTAATGCCTAGCTTGAAATGGAGTTGGCTTCCCAGCCATCTTCCCTGTGCGTCATTTTGTTTGGCTCTGTTTCATTCGCTCCATGTACGAAATATATGTTTTGTCAAGTCAAAAAAAAAAATGGAACGAACTCACTTAAAGCAGGAAAATTTCATGTTTTGAATAGTAAAAATATTCCAGTGAGTTTTGGATGTCATAAAGTGGAGTGTTCATAAAATGATAATCTGTTCGGTGAGCAAGATGATTGCGAAAATGTCATAATTTAATGACAGCATGAACATGATTATTAATTCCACATTCGGTTATGATATTGAGAATAATGTAATAATAAGCATATAATGATAATTCGAATAGTAATGAAGCAAACCGACGAATGGATCAATGAGAATAGTTGACATGAGGACAAAGTATCGATAAGATAATACGACTTGAGCATGTACATGTCATGTTGCACAGGCTTTGATAATTGCGTCGGATTGGAGATTGTGCTGGCTTCGCTGAATTTGTTCGCCGAACGTATAGAGTGCAGAAGTTCCTTCATCGACGTAGCTTGCTGCGTTGCGTTCGTCGTCGGCGGGCTTACCAATGGGACGGCCCGTGACGCGCAGGGAAGATGGCTGGGAAGCCATGGGCCGTCGGTTTGCTTCATTACTATTCGAATTATCATTATATGCTTATTATTACATTATTCTCAATATCATAACCGAATGTGGAATTAATAATCATGTTCATGCTGTCATTAAATTATGACATTTTCGCAATCATATCGCTCACCGAACAGATTATCATTTTATGAACACTCCACTTTATGACATCCAAAACTCACTGGAATATTTTTACTATTCAAAACATGAAATTTTCCTGCTTTAAGTGAGTTCGTTCCATTTTTTTTTCTCATGTCATTTGATCTAATATTACATTCATTCACTTAGTCGAGGTCATTATTTTATGTTATCATAACACACATTCTTCATCGCCTCCTATTATGTCTGTGGATGCATCTAACTAGCTGATTAGAAACCATTACGTTCATCTTATCTATTCTTTCACATGCATAACTGCACGCCGCATCATTTATCAACCAAAAACGTTATTCGAGTACTGCAACTACTATTCTATACCCATCGCACGGTATATCAGAACATAGAGTTTAGAGCTAGTCTCTCAAAGATACACTCTTGTTCCTTACATCCAAGTCAGTCTCATACGTCGCCATCGCTAATCGTATGTATTGGTATTTTTGTCATGCCTTGGTACGGTTTTGTAACAAACGAGATCGAGCGCATCTCCCTCAAACCACACAAACCATTCTAGGCGACATGACCAAAAAGGAATACGACTCTACGTACTTCGTCTACTCAGTCACTATTCTGTTCCTCTGGTCATTCTACTAATACATACTTAACGATAACTCAATGCATCTGTCATAACGCAGACGACAACGTTCACTGACTTCACATTTTATGATTATTACCAATTGCAGTACAGCAACGAATATCACCCGTCGATGCAGATTCCATTTCACGACTTGACTATTATTATTCTACGAACGGGAACTACGCATTTAAATTCAAATTCACTCATCGCTAATCGATGCTACCTATTCTACTGCGGCTCAACAGAACATATATTTAACATATTTTGCTATTCTGTCGGCATCACAGACCGATTTCTGTCGTATTCTACTCTACTTATTTTCACGATTTGTTTCGCAGTCGTACCCACAAACAATTTATTACTATTTTCACGGTATTTTGAATCGCTCATACGAACTTGTTATTTTATCGTTCAGACAGTCACAGCATTATTAGATGTTAATTTTTGTACGCTCATTAAATTGCTCATATTCGCATGTTAACGTTCCCATTTCTGTCCGCGCCTTTTCTATATTCATGTATTCTTTTACATAAATATGACATTTTCATATAATACACTCACCGCTCATGTGACACTACTGTACTTTATCGAGTGTTGTACAATTTTTTTCGCTACTTGTTGCTAACGTTAACTTCATATCACTTCAGTGTCATTTTCGAAAACAGACATTTTTTAAATGTGCTATTTTCTACGAGGGGGCTATGTAGTGTCAGTTATTATGGCAAGCCCATCTACCTTATTCTATCTTGTGGACATCCTATTTAATTCATTTTACTTGAGTCATATTTTGACCTTGTTAATTATTCGCTTATTAGCCCTGACTGTTTTCATATGAGCGTATGTGTGTACATTTCATGTCCCGTGACTTATCACATGTCTGTCGTTTATTTTGTCCGCCTATAAATATTAAGTAATGCCTAGCTTGAAAGGGAGTTGGCTTCCCAGCCATCTTCCCTGTGCGTCATTTTGTTTGGCTCTGTTTCATTCGCTCCATGTACGAAATATATGTATTGTCAAGTCAATTCTCGTTATTCGACTTATTTAATTCCGTTATTGGATAACGCGATCTAAGTCGACAATGATATACGAGAATAGGCGATAGCAAACACTCATACAATCTGAATTGGAGTCAGATCACGGGCCGCCACAACATATCCTGATCATCTTAGTCGATAAGGATTTACAACTTCATCAACTTACTTGTCACCTTTGGGTGGTATCATATGCCTAACCTGAACACTGCTCACCCGGTTGTGCCAAGAAACACGAGCAATGATTTGAAGACACCGATCGTGAAAATCCTTTAACCTGTGTTCTCTACTCTCATATACTATGTTTCAATGCTGTAAAGTAGTATAGTAGAGATTTCTACTCATTATCCAGGCCCTTTGGTAGGGAGACGGACATACAAAGAACTAAAACCCAACCGGGTTTTCCGAGTTCATATCGAGATTTCGTCAGTGGGACTAATGAGATTTCTAACTGAATTAGTCTATAAGTTCAAACAATTCACCCCCTATCATTAGTTTGAACTTTAATCCAAACCAATTCTAAAAAACATTTTTCATGTGGAGAGAGGAAAACTCATTCTAAACATGTTAGCATTGTCGCTAAAAACGATCAAAATACTAAATTTTGTTGTGGTCTCCACAACATAGGATCATATGATGAGCGTGTTAATAATTGACGCGCATATTTCGTTTTATTCGGGACTCGTCATTTGGATGTACCTGCATCTCAGAGTTGATGTTCACCTTGGGACTCGGTAGCTATGTGGATAACGCGATGGTGTTTAAAGCGAACGGTATTGGGTTCGAATGCTAAAGTGAACATCAAGTCAGATGTAGGTACATCCAGCTGACGAGACCCAAATAAAATGAAACGCGCATCCTGGATTCTACTGCTAGCCACTATATATCTTTGCTTATTCAGATAAATTGTAAGAAAGAGTACAGTTCCAATGTACAAAAAGTAATACAAAATATTTCTATAAAGAAATTTAATTCAAATTATTGGTAATGACGTCTTGTTTATTCCATGATTATTTCAAAACATATTGATATCATGTTTAGTACTAACAAACAAATGAAAAATGATAGTACTACGAGATCGAAGGTCATGCTTTCGAATCTCGCGTTCATGATCTTGTATATGCACTGTTCAGGAATCTCGTACTAGGACGAAATGGCTGTCCAGTGATTCCAGGTTTCCCATGGTAGTCTAGCTTTAATCGACTCATGAATTCAACTATTAGAAATTCTCGCTTACATTCTCATACTTAGAGTATTGTTTGATTAAAATATCTGTTACACATATTCAGAATAAAATTTAAAATGATTTACTATATTGACAATAGAACTATCAGATACCGAATTCGAATGTTTTCCCATTAAAACTATTTGTAAATATATGCTTTGTACTCTAAGTCATATCTTTGAATTCCTACTTAATGTAACTGATTATTATAAGTATGAATATCAAGGTTTGAGCTTGTTAGAGTGTAAGATAGAGAGTTAATAATAAATACATTTATGTTAGATTTCAATGAGTAAAAAATATTGCATTTTTGATGTTTCGTCACTTAATGTAAGCTACTTCTTCAGAGTAATTATATTAACACAAGTTTAAATAGTGTTAATTTAAAGTCGGTTTTATTTTATATTGAGATCATGAATCGATTGATATTAAACCACTAGTTAAAACCTGGAAGTACTAACTCAATGGACATTTATTTACTCTGAAGAAGTAGCTGAAATAAAGTCACGAAATGTCAGAAATATAATTCTTCTATTCATTGGAATATAACAAAACTATATTTATCATTAGCTTATTATTACTTTTGTCAGCTAAGTTTATTATGGATGGTTTATTTATGTATTCAATTCTTCTTACTTTTGTATTTTTTGTTCATTTGTATACCGTTACAACGCCTTACTGTTGCTTACGCTTTTTACCCCTCATGGAGGAGAATAGACTGCTCATCAGCATCCTCCATACAACTTTATCTGGAACAATCTTTCCCAGTTGTTTTCAGTTGCTATTCATCCTTTTCATGTCTGCTTCCGATTCCCCACGCAGTGTGTTATTTGGTCTTCCTCATATCCGTTTTCTTCTATGATTTTAAGTTGGCACTTGCCTTGTGATACAGTTTGATGCTTACCGTAATGTTTATCCTATCCACTTCCAACGTCTTTACCTAATTTCCTCTTCATCTGGAACCTGGTTTGTTCTCTCCCACAATAGGTTATTGCTGATGGTATCTTGTGTAGACAATTGTTTATAAATACTTGTACCTTTTTGATGTTATCAAATAACTATTCATCTTTTTTTCTTTTATAGGGGTTGAAAAACTATTGGATTGTGTTGAACAACGATCTACAGATTATGATTGTCCAATTTATTTTGTAAGAGATGATTATTTAGCTCGTAAGGTCAGTGTCATTACTTCACTATATGTTTTTGTTCTTATGAATATTTATTGTTTAGACGATCGTTATATATGGTATGTTAAGTTGAAAATAATGTATAATTGAGATCATTTGATAAGCCATCGATACTACTACTCCTACTACTATAGCAGGTTCGCTAATTTCTTCTATTCTGAATCATCTTTGATGAGTTCTAAAGCTAATGAGTTGGTGTATTTATAGAATTCCGTTTAGCGCTTTGTGACGGACTAGGGGATTATAGTTTTCCTGATAACTTTTATATTATGAACCGATAACGTCTTAACTTCTCCCATACACTTCAAGCGTTGGTGAAGTATAGGAGCACTTGATGATGTGCGTAAAATATAAACAAGCCATGAAAACGAGCACTGTAAAACACCAACCCCCATAAAACTGTCAACTTTTTCATTCCCGAATGCATTATCTCAGACCACTTGTTTATTCATACAGTGTTTACACCTGATGTAAGTAATCTCAATTAGACAACTCTAATCGAACCCAAGTAGTTACCCAACTTTCTTAACTGTGTGTAGCTAATCTTTACAATCACCTGTCACAGGGTCCCCAAAGATGATCCTAACTTGTATAAGTCTCCTCGGCTTTCATTGTTCGATCTGATCTTATTTAATATTCTACTATCAGCATGTAAACATATAATCTTCAGTATTTGCAGCAAACTATTGCAAAGAGTGAATACAGATGATTGATGTTTATCACAAATTGGTTATAATCCCTAACATTCTGCGTCGAATAAATTCTTATGAGTTACATAATCAGCTTCCCTTTTGTGTTCCATACGTTCAATTTTTGTATTTCGGTTTCCAATCACTATTTTATTTATTTGTTTGAACATATAAATATTGATACAAAGGGGTACAGAATAAATATGTACCTTACAAGTCACTTGATTTGTATGGGGGTTCTGATATTGCTCGGGTGCCCAAATCGAAGCACGTGGTTTTCGTATAGGTCTACAACCGGAGCCTTCGACCTAAAAACCCGACACCCCTATAAGACCAATATTATCGATGGTCAAACCACCCTTCCATAAACTTGCCCGCTGACTTACTAGATGCTTGGAACCAATCCGCAAAAAACTAGCAGCCTACAGTTTGAAAGACAGCTTAGAATTTATGCAAAAACTTGATAACCTTAATGTCTCTGACAAATTCATGGTTTCATTTGATGTCTCTTTGCTTTTCACAAATATCCCCTTGGAAGAAACGGCAGAGATCATATGTGAATATCCAGAACTCCTGCCTTTACCACCCCAGGAATTTAAACAGCTCCTGTTTTTGTGTACAAAAAACATACAATTTAGATTTAACAATGTTCTGTACCGACAGATTGATGGAATAGCAATGGGCAGCCCTCTAGGCTCAATTCTTGCCGACATATTTATGGGACATCTGGAACAAAAGAAACTGAAGCACGCAATCGACAGTACCACACTTTACTGCAGATATATGGATGATACGTTCCTTGTCTGCAAAAATCACCAACACTCCATGTACCTACTTAGTCTGTTCAGTAAAGTACACAAAGATATAGAATTTACCATGGAACATGAAGTTGATGATAAATTCCATTTCCTAGATATTGGAATTAGGCGAACATCAGATGGCACACTACAAAGACACATTCACCGCAAAAATACTTGGAGCGGAGTTTATCTCAATTTTAACAGCTTCTGTCCATTGAGTTATAAAAAGGGTATTGTGCGAAACCTTTTTGACCGCGCACGAAAAATCTGCTCAAAAGAACGCCTCGAAGAAGAAATTACTACAATCACCAAATGCCTACGTGAAATTGCATATCCGGATAAATTCACCCACAAATATGCTAATACAAACCCTCCGATTAAGCATGATACAGTTGAAAAGAAAACCTGCTTCCTATCCTTGCGCTTCAAAGGAGATGAAGTCGCCGGAATTATCAATCACAGAATTAATTCCGCTTTAAAAGTGAACTACCCGGCAGCCAAACTGACTACGTTATGGAAAACATACTGCTCACTGAAACAAACGAAGATCGACAAGTCCTCTCCCCTCAGTTGCTCCAACTGCATTTACCAATTCACATGTACGTGCCGTAGCACATACATTGGAAGAGCTGAGAGAAGAGTACAGGTTCGCATTTCTGAGCATATTCCGAAGAACTTGACGCTGCGAGGGACTAAAGCTTTTAACAGTGCAATAGCTCGGCATCTACTTGACACTGGGCATACCGTCGATATTATGCGCGCGTTTAAAATTATCAATAGACAAAGAACTACTACCACTCTCCGCTTTGCTGAAGCCATTGCAATTAAGAAACTGAAACCGGATTTATGCATCCAAAAAGAGACTTTAATAAACTAATCACTACCCTGGTAATCTTTTTGTTTCTGTTTGTTTTGGTGTTTTGGTTATTTTATTCATTTACTTATTCTAAGATATTTTATACCCCCCCTATTACCTAATTCTTAAAATAAATTTTATTCATACATTTCCACCACCTGATCCCCTTAAATTATCTTAACTTTCCAAATTCTATTTAATTATTATTACGTAATCTACCTTATCATTATTTAATTCCATTAATCTCTACAATTATCACACAATTTATGAACTTCAATAAATTATTACACCACCCACCCTGGATTAACCCCCCTCTTTTGACCTCTGACCTGTTTCTAGCATATATATATAGTTATTATTGTAATCCAGTTATTTACACTCATTTATGTCAATTGTTTTCACACTATCTCCATGTAAAAAATTCTATCACAATTTTGGTTTGTAATAATAATAATAATAATAATAATAATAATAATAATAATAATAATAGTAATAATAATAATAAGTTTCGATAAAATCACTTCAGGTTGTCGAACCTGAAATCATACATCGACTACATAATTTGCACATCCTCCGTCAGTTGTTGCGTACGTGCTCCATGATTCTTCCAATCTTGCTGTTATTACAATTGCTCTCTATTTCCCTTCCTGTTCTCGTTGATCTGACTTTCTGCTAACAGGTATTCGATTTTCAATTTCTGGTGCATGCTACTTATGTCTGTCCGCATAAGTAGCATGCATGCTGCTACCTTAAAGTTGTTGTCGGGCTCGCATATCGTGGTGAATCAATCGAGCTATACTGGCTTGAACAATCGTTCCCAGGTCGACTGAAGTGTGGTAAAAATAAAAGCAGCAAACTCAAGATCCAGGTGTGAAGTCTTACTGCTGACTGTGCAGAGGTGTGACAGCAGTAAGGTGTTTCTTTCAGACAAACAGCATAGCAGCGATGCTGCCTCCCCGCAAGGATGGGTGGGGTTAGAAAAGTTCGACCCTAAAATGCACACTTCGCCTTATCCCACGGATATCCGTCTCCGGTGGTAAGTTCTCAACAACTACGGAGCTAACACGAAAATTACTCACAAAAAGGTCGTGTGTGACCGACCTCAAGCAATTACCCCTTGGGCATTGCGTTCACGCTCTCAAGACACTAAGACCAACTCTGACCCAATTTCGTTTTCAGGTACCTTCGGAGGAACTTCATGTTATAAAGCTTTACTATTGTCTGAATAAACTGTTTATAAGCAAATTTTTATGATAATTATGTTTATATTCGGTTAGTTCTGTTTTTCATTCTGCCTGTTTTCTTCATTTTAAATTAAAAAAATTCCATTTTAGTATGCCGGTTTTCCTATACCAGCTGAATTGGAAAAATTATTACCAGAAATGCATAAATTATGCTCAGAAGAATTATTGCATGAATTTCTAGGCAAACAAAAGTAAGTCAATTCTATTGTATTATTCAATTTTTGATTGAGATCATGAAGCGATTGATGTTAGACCAGCATTGAAAACCTGGAAGCACTGGACGGCCGTTTCGTTCTGTTGTAAGACTCAGTGGTGTGCATCCATCATCCCGCTTGCGAGATCAATTGTCTAGAGGCTAAGTGTTTACGCTCGAGACCGAAGGCCTTGGGTTCGAACCCAGGATCTAGGGTTCACAATCTCAATCTAAAACAATAATCTGCACAACCCCATATTGATATTCAATTTTTATTTGTTTAAATAATTATGTAGTTTCCTCTTTTCCTTGTCAAATTTGAAATGTCTTCAAACGTAGTTTTTCCAACTGTGAACTGGATAATGAGTTGTTCTAAAGAATAACCAATTTATTTTCATCTTATCACAATGACATAGGCGTATACACTTTCCTTTGATTTCCCTTAAATCGTGTGACTGAAATTGCTTTATATTGTTCTTTCTGTGAACTAAATTTTTTTTCCTGTATTATATTGTTTTACATAATTTTTTTTTATATATTACTATCATTGAAATAACTACTTCTATTAATTCGTTGTTCACCTTGTTGTGCTAATGAGTGAAGTTAGATGGTGGTTGGAGGTAGTCAACAGGAAACTGTGGACCTGGGTTGACCACATTGCAACTTGGTCGATAGCATTCGATCTGCACTAAGAAGGACTTGACACATATGACACTGATCACCACACAGTAATCAATTAATTGTAATTAATGAATGAGGTGTAGCAATTTGAAACGATGCATATATATGCCTGATCATACTTTGTGGCTGACTAACTGACTAACTATAAAGGAGAAAAAATGATATCAAATTAGTCTAGAATGTACTTACAATGCAAAAGAATAAGATTTTGTTCATGATACATTGAGTTTATAACGAATACAAATGTTTAAATTGAATAGATAACAATAGTGAAGATATACACTTACAAGCAATGAGTATAGGTGTTTTTCATGTCCACCATTGATCATCCTATCCAAGGATATGTAACTAAAAATGGAACTTGGAATTTCCTTGTTTTGATTTCCAATAGGTCGTGAATACATACTAGGGTGGAATAACTGTCTGGGGCCTCTCGGTTTTCATTGGTTGTCTAAATAAGGTCAGTTAATGATATAAACTATGAATATCTAGTCTGTTCCTGAAAGGACGATTTTACTTGACAAAGAGTAATACAGTGCCCCTCCTCACTTAAGAAGACTGAATTTTTAGATTACTAATTCTAACACAGGTTCGTAACTGAAATATTTTTTTTCTTCAGGACTTAGATATTTCTCCTTAGTACTTTTAGCTTTCATCAATAGTCTGTTAACAAAGTTCTAAATTCATTGAAGTATATCTTTTAATACCAGACGGGATTTTGTGGATATTATAGTAATTTTAATAGTTGATATCATGAGTCCTGTGTTCGAATCTCGCGAGTCGGGATCGTGGATGCTCACTGCTGAGGAGTCTCACAATAGGACGAAACGGCCGTCCAATGATCTCAAGTTTCCCATGATGGTCTAGCTTCAATTGACTCATGATCTCAACTATTAAAATTATATCTTTTATCATTTTCAATAATATGCTTTATAATCCAATTTGTCTTCTTTATGTATCCTCATGTGGATTTGTTTTGAAAGTGGAAATAATCGAAATGCATTAGTTAGGATTCATCTTATTAAAACACAACAGTTTTATATTCACATATATGTGCACACACACAATATCATTCTGCTTTCATTTCTCACCTATGACTTCCTTATTACATCTTAGACATACTGTAGTGAAGGAGAACACAGGTGAGGACAACCGTAGTATAGTTAGTACAACATTACAGAGTGACTTGGTAAAATAGAAAAACCATACTATAATACCTAATTTGCAAAATGTTCAATAATTGTCTCAGACTTCATTGATATTGCATTTCTATACTAATTGCTTTCTGTTCCCGTTCTTCCTTTCTTGATCTTCCCAATCTTCTGCTGCCTGACATTACATTCCTGACTCGCGTTGTATACTACTTATGTCAATATAAGTACGCACCACAATCGTCTTGAACATGCATATTTCCCTTTTATATATATCTAATACAAAATTACACAGAAATAATAATATATGAATTAGGAAAGAATATTGTTTGCACTAGATTCTAACGTTAAAAGTTCATCATTCTAATAATTCGTTTGATTGAGATCATGAAGCGATTAATGTTAGACCAGCATTGAAAACTTGGAATCACTGAACGGCCGCTTTATCCCATTGTGAGACTGCTCAACAGTACGCATCCACGATCCTGCTCTCAGGATTTGAATCCAGGACTTTCGGTTTCGCGCACGAAAGCTGAACATTTAGACCAGTGATCTGGTATCCAACGGTGTTAGTGTCTGACTTCAACCAATCCACGATATTGGGCGATCGCACACCATTGTCTTCGGTGGTAACTGCTTCACATCCGACATGGATTGACTCTACTAGTCACGGCTTCTTACTAGAACTCCGAGAATTTCCTTTAGAAGCTAAACGCTAGTGAGCAAACGATCGTGATACGCATTGCGGAGGAGTCCCATACTAGAACAAAACGGTTGTCCAGTGCTTCCACGTTTCCCATGGTGGTCTGAAATTCCATCTTTCTTACTTCGTATTTCATTTACTTCAATTTTTAACAAAATAATAGAAATATATTTTATCTCCTTATTTGAATCATCACTATTGTGGTGATAAATATTCATTAATGCCAATTATGAGATAGAAAACATTAATCTCAATGAATGACAGTATTGTATCACGCGACAACCTACCGATGATGAAACTGTTCTATTAGATCCGATGTAGGCTATCAAAATGACAAGTGTTCACACAAAAATACGTCTATTTTTAATGCTATTCACACTTATTTGTTGAATTCCCTTGTGTAGAAAGTAGAAACCAGTGGAAAGTTTACAACGAAGCGACTTGACATCTATGCGGATTAGAGAAAGAAGATATTGTCGACATGAAAGATAAACGGTTACAAATAATCATATTCATCACAATAAGAAAACTGAGCATAAGAATCTTGGGTTAAGAAGATATAAATAATATCTTAGAATAATAATGATTGATTCCAACTGCTGCGACCACCGAATAAGTAATGTAGTTGTTAGCAAACGTGCACTAGGTATGGATGGCAAATTAGTTGATGAAGTAGTGAAACTTCATCAGTTGAAATGGCTGTGACACGTGTCACGTATGCCCAACCACCGACGTGCGATGTTTAATGATGTAGGAGTAGGTTGGAAAAAAGCTAGGGACGGCCAGATCAAAACATGGCATAAGTGGACTGAGCCATGTTGTTAGGTGTGGACTACCTGGTTGGGGACCGTGAGATGATAGCAACCGATGGTTACAGACCCTGAATGATATGGCTCAAAATCGTTTGCAATGATACAGGTCCATACATTCTTTATGTTCTTCTGAATTCTTCATGTTTCTTCTTTTTTTTCTTTCCAACTTTATTTCACTGGACTGTACTACTTGAATAACATATTCAAAGCCTAATCTTTCCGATTGCTGCTAATACTCCTACTACCTCTACCACTGTGGGATTTGAATCGACATTTGTATCTTTGTGCTAATGTGGTATGGCAACTTGAACTGATGTACGTACAATTTAAATTAACAGCTTATAAACAAATTAGTAAGTTTATAGACCTAAATCATCATATGAAGTGATTGTAATACCTTACAATTACCTTAACTTGAAATAGTCGTTATCATAAGTGTATTTTAAGAAAAAGCTAAGAGTGTACGAATATAGGTTTAAGATTACTGTGCAAACTTATCGCTTTTTAGACTAAGGCTTGTACATAGTAAAGTTGCATATATCCTGGTAACTTCCTGGCTCAAAAAATGGTTGCCATGTAATAGATATATATATCCTTGCATTCTATTTCAATGTCACGACTACTGCTACTACTACTGGAGTGGACAAGAGCACGACTGGGAGCAATCGAATGTGTTTGAACACAGAATTAGTTAACATCTTATTAAAATCTGGGAGCCATATATAGTAAATACTTCATTTGCAAAATACCAAATCATTGTCTCAAAATTGACTATTCCTCTTGGAAATATCAGTTCATTGTTCCTGCATTTTCATCTCAATTGCTTTCCTTCTCGATCTTCTATTGAAATACATTCTCTTCCTGACTATCGTTCTATACTACTTCTATTGTTATAAGTAACTACTACTTGTGACTCTCTTTTGTCTTTCATCTTTTAAATAATTACCTTTTTCTTTGCACTAATATAAAATATGTATTTACATAATAATTTATTATCTGTGTATTACTCCATACTTCCAAGGGATCACTCTATATATACCTGTTCCCATCACATTGTGATGAAATATTATTCGAAATGGTTCTGATTATATGTAGTTTACGTAAATGTTTAACACATATACTATACATCATATGAAATAATAATGTTCTTTCTCTATATTCACATGGTTAACGAGGAAAAAAATAGCAAAGTAAACATAGAAAACAGCATAAGATAAATCATGAAATTGTGTATCAAACAAGGTAGGGGGGTTTCAATTACTAAAATCATACCTTCTTATATATACTACAGACTTATACTTTGATACTTTTGCTTTGTCTTTATGTACTACGTTATACACCTATGAAGCGTGCTTCTTTCTTTCTTTCTGTAGGTATAGACTATATTTTTTAAGGCTATGCATATCCTATAACGTATTCCATGTACATTATATGTGTGAAAATTATATTTGAAATAATCTCAGCGATTGAAATTTAAAATAACAATCCCAACATTTCATCCAGCTAAATTATCTGGACTTCTTCAGGGTAGAATAATCAATATCGAAATAATCAAAGAAATATATTATAGCTTTTTCAACAGTTGAGATCATTAGACAATTGAGGCTAGACCACCATGGAAAACCTAGAAGCACTGGACGGCCGTTTCGTC